GCGACGGGGCACAGCGCCCCCTGGGGGCCGCTCCGGCGATTTGCAGCCCGGCCGCCATTTTATTCCCCTTCTCACCTCACCTTAAAATAAACCCCTGCATGTGCAAATTTGACAGGGAGTCGGCTGTTTCTGAACGCTGCCACCCCGAGCTGGGCCCCCAACCCTTCCCCAAGCCAATGACTCGGTTGCACTGCTGCTGCCCCTCACTTCTCGGGGGCTCGCAGAGATGAGGCTTGCTGTGCCCAGAAGAGTTCACCATTTAAGCAGATGAGACAGGCAAATTAGCTGCTGTCTCCACTCCTTTATTCCTCCAGTAATTAGGGCTGACAGGACAGCTACCGAGCGAAGGCTGCAGTGCTCGGGCTGAAGCCTGCATGGGTTTTCCAGCGGCAGCCCGTGGCTCAGCATGTCCCCAGGGCCGGCCATCAGCCGTAACGCCCCACTGCCGGGCCCTCCTCATCACTGCTGAGCAGCTGGGACAGAGCAGGGAATTTTTCCTAAAATATCTCTAAATGGATTTTTCACTTGAGTTGATCCAGCGGGTCCGAGAAATGTGGCAAGAGGCAGTTTTGGAAGCGGTCCCACCGTGTGGCAGGATCCTGCCCTTTCCCAGCCATTTGCGGACGGGAGGAGCCTGCGCCTTGCGTAAGCAGAGGCAGTGGTGCATTAAAAGCAGTTGTTTTTCACGGGTGCGGGGGGACACCTGGAGACGTGTGTGGCCCCGTGTGCTTGGACAATGATCCAGGTCCCTTTCTATGCATCTGGCTGCAGGAGCAACCATTTTCCTGGCTGTTCCCATTGTGTGATCCCATGCGCTTGTAAGCTCTGCAGCATGGTCTGACCCGTGAGGTGCGAGCAATGACTCCAGGGACCAGTTTTCTTTTTCTGGAAGAAAATAGCAGGCTGACTGTATTTTCTGAAGGTCAGGCTTCTCTGCTTTGCTGCCAATGCCTAAAGCTAGTCTGAAAGTGGAATTAATGTTTTGAAACCTCCTTAAGACTAATTTCCCTCATTTCTTTAGTTTTATAAATAGAGCCTTTTGGCTTTAAGAACTTGATGACTCCTTTCCAGTGAAAACTCCTGAAAATGAAAGGCCCCATAGAAATCAACACGTTTTGGCAAGAATTCCTTACTTTGTAGGAAAAAATTGCTTTAATCTTCTATGTAGTTCTGCCATTTAAGGGCTGCGCTCCTCCGATGCCGTTCTGGTATTTCTACAGCTATATATGGAGTCTCTTTGGTGCTTGCTTGTGGTATCCTCAGAGCTGAGTAAAGGTCAGGCCAGGAAGCCTTTGATTGTAAATCTCCCCAGGCCACCTTGATGCCCTTCCTGAATACAATGAATGGGGAAGGAAAGCAATGTTTCTCTTGTGCAAGCTGCGGGAGCTAACTGCTACAGGTAGGCAGAGGCATGCTTGTCCCACGTTTACAAGAAGAGGATATATATTAATCATTAAGTTGCGCTAATCATAACTATGTATACCCGATGGCCAAATGGCCAAAAAAATGTTTCTTCGCCTTGTCTGAAGAGAGTCCCTTTCCTTTGGATTCTTCATCACCGGGGCAGATCACAACCAAACTTGACAGTTTTTATAGACTTTCTTTAGGTGACTCACAAACATTGTACAATTTTATTTATTTTTCACTGTTTTCTTAGCCATTTCTCTCTGGAAGGCTGACTTCCTCAAGGACTCTCCTTACCTTGAAGTATAGAGCTTGTCAAAAACAAAGGGAAGTAAAATTAGGAAAGGAAGTTTAGAGTATAATTAGGCTTTTCTTTTTGCCAGAATCTGAACTGAAAATTTTAGTCTGTTTTCATTGTTTAGTCCTTTTCATTTCTTAAACAGGGGTGTTTTAATGGATGGTTTTCTGTTGGACAGACTGGTCTCACAGTGCAATCTTTTAGGCAATTTTTTCAAATTTTGAAAGCAGAAAAAGAAAAAAAACAAATCTTTTTTCCAAATGATGATTTTTCATTTAAAATGTCACTGCTGGAGGAAAGGCTGTTTTTCTTGAAAGTTTCTGAGCTGTTCAAATGCAAAAGCTCTCTCTTGAATGCCCTGCACAGAAACTACTGTACTGCAGCGCTCAGGACATACCCGTATCTGATACCGATGGGGGTCTGCTACTGCCCTCTACTATAGAATTTGTCTTTTTCTCTCAAGCTGTGACAGATTAAACTTTTAGCTCTGCAGTTTCTGAGTCATGTCCCTGCTGTTGGTAACATGGCTGGCAGTCACTTAGCTGGATGCTTGCCTTGACCGGGAGAGAGAGAGAGACTTTGCTGGAGAAGATTCAGTTCCACTTTGCTGGAAGTGAATGGGGCTGGACTAAGTCACACAGTATTTGCATTCAAAATGAAACCTAATTTTTGGGGGCTGTCCTGGTTTCGGTAGGGATAGAGTTAATTTCCTTTCTAGTAGCTGGTACAGTGCTGTGTTTTGGATTTAGGATGAGAACAAAGTTGATAACGCACCCATGTTTTAGTT